CCTAAAAAGAAAGGTAAAGTATCAAAGTTAGCATCCTAGAAAGTTTTACTTTAGTTCATACATTATTTGGAGTGTTCTTTCTACAATAGCCGTTTTTTACCTAGCTAACCACCATTGTGGTCCAATGGCTATACCTCTTTTGAAAAGAGCGGTGACATATAAAAATCTAAGTTCAATCCTCGAAAATTTTATTCCTCATTCCCTAATTGTACTAGTTCAAAAAAAATTTAAAATAAAAATAAAAATAAAAAGAAAAAAGAAAAAAGCCAAGAGCTCTGTATCCTTTTAACCACTCTTTAATTGGTTTAATTGTTTCCTTCTCAGATGGATCTTCATGTTTGATCTGTTTGCATTTTCATTATATCCTGCATCTTGCCTGTTTTCTTTGATATAATCTCTAATCGATATCGCTTGTTCCCACTGTAAAATATTCTTTATGCTCCAAGCCACACTTTAAAAGGCATGAATTGATCTAAATAACCTCTAAAAAAATTTTAAAATTTAAATACGAAAGAGTTTTGTGTAATGTAAATCTCATTTTTAAATTGTAACTATTAAATTCAAATTGAATATTAAAAATCTACAAGAAAGAGTAAGTTATAAAAAGGAATTTTAAGTGATTTGTATCCTAAAAGTTTACTGTCCTCTTCATTAATCTATTAAAATTGTTTAAGCCACAATTGAATTAACTGAATTTGTTTTATTAAAATTTTCATTCGAAAAACTTAAAAAAAAGTTGAATTTTTTTAAGAATTGATGAGACTATATCATACAACATTATTGTTAGTATGATTTTTTCTTGTCATCAATTTTAACGTGTGTATTTCCAAACCAAATGCAGATTTTGCCCATATGGAGCGAAAGAGGATTATTGGCGGTGTGAAGATCCAAAAAAAAAAATAATAATAACATTGGTGATGTGGACCCGGTCTCGGACTGACCTGAATTCATTATTCATCAGATTATGCGCCACTTCTCTAATGAGAAAGGGGGAGATTTTTTCTTTTTAGTTTTTTTTTTTTTTATATAAATAATCATTCGTTATTAGCATCTAACCCTTCGGGTCAAGTGGCCTCCGACCACCTTGAGATGTATCTCTCCTTTTTTTTTGGACAGGGTTCGAGCCCGCCCCATGTAATATTGTTAAAAAAGAAAAAAAAATCATTAGTTATTAGCTTTAATTAGAATAAATTAAATATTTTGAATTATAAATAATAATTATTATTAGTCATTAAATATTGAAAAAGATAATACAAATAGCCTCCTAATTCAAATTGTAGTCTTGTGTAGCTTTTTTTAGCAAAACCCTACTTTAAGTCACAGAATTTACCTTAACTTACCAATTAAATCCTTAAACTCTTATTGAAATAAATAAATTGTTAATTTGGCAATCCAACCAATTTAACCATTTTCTCTAAGTTTGCCCTTGCTTGTGCCAGCTTGCGTTGTCTTATCCCTTAAATAAGGTATAGTTAAATTTGTTATTAAAAAAATATTAAATTATTTAAATTATCAAATTTAAGGGTTTATTTACTTTTAAAAAATTCAATAACTTAATCAGAATTTTATGATAAAATCAAAGATTTATCACTTTACCTTTTCTATGTGAAACGGCTTAACAAGTTTTCTAGCAACTTATGTCAACTTCTTATTAAATGTAAAAAAAATTAATAATTTAATAAAAATTTCAATAAAATTTCATTACAAAATTCATAAGTTTTTTGTTACAATATTTTTTAACTTTTAATATAATATTTCCTTAATCACTTTTTCAATAAAATTGACATCTAACCGAATAAGTTATAAATGATATATATAATTATATGAGAAATATATAAAAAAAAAATTATCTATCAATAATTTACAATTGAAATTTTCTATTTTTTATCTTATAAATACATATTATTTTTTTTATTTATTAAAAATATTTTATAATTTAAATTATATTAAACTATGCCATCATAATTATTATAACTCTTTGCTAAGTAAATGTAAAGTGGTACCAAAAGAGGGCAGCTTGATGAACACCAAATGATTATAGATGACTAAAAAATTACAAATGACTGGTTGATTTTATTAAGGACATTGGCTACAAACATATATCTAAAAATTTTCATGTATCTAAGTACTTACTGTGATTTAAGCTAGCATCTAACACTTTCATCTTTGTAGTTGTTGATGATATGTTGTTCTAGACAGTTCGATCCAAGATATGACATCTGGAACAATGCTAACTAATACCATCACTATCCACCATTGAGCTTTAAATTCAATTGTGTTGAACAGTAGTGACAGATCTTTGGGAAATGATGTACGAAACTGAACCCACCAAAGCACATAATAGGTTATTGTAACTAGCCATTCTCTATAGTACACTCTGGGTTCAAAACCAGCCAACACCAGAACACCATACTTGGCAATAGATTGAATAGCCCAAATCTTGTCTTTGATTCCTTTGGTATTTGTAAAGGGTGGAAACATATCTTTGGGAAAAAAGCTTTGTAACCAGAAACAGAAAATGACATAACTAATTACTGCAAATAACCAATCTTTATAATTGGCCATGGGAGATGTGATAAGAGCAAAGTTGAACATGCCATGTGCAATACTTACAACCATCAAAATCAAACCATTGATTCTTTTGGCATTTGTAGAGGGCATTGAGCTGTCTTTAGAATTCCGATAGAACTTATAGAGACTTAGAAGCACAATATTGATTGCCCTAACTAACCAATTTTTATAGTTGGATAGGGGAGATTTGAGAGCAGAAGAAATGAAGATAGCGTTTGCAAAACATCTAGCTGTTGATGAAAAAATAAAAAACACACTAGCACTTTCAATTGTGGTATTTGTACAAGGATTTTCTCCCAAATCCAACCAATACTTATCTAACCAGCTCTTGAAACTGAACAACACAAAACAGATGGAAGCAATTATCCATGTGGGAAACTTCAACTCATAGTGGTTGTAAGTAATAGATCCAATGACTCCAATGATAAAACTAAACAACCCAAGGTCTGTTTGCGGTCGTAATACCACTAGTACACATAGAAGAAAAATTGAGATGCACAACATAGCACTAAGGCCCCTCAAGGAATTATCGTAAAATTTTGCAAAAGGAAGTGCTATAATAAAGAAGATGAAGTTTGATGTTGAATTTACCATGCAGCTGTTCCTTCTATGAAGAATTTTAAATTGACTCCAATGCTTTGAATGTGTTAACGGGCCAAGGCCAATAAGCATCAATAACTGCATTTTGACTCCTCTTCTATCATTTTTTGAACTTAACTCTATATTTTGTAGAAGAAATATGGCGGAGAACAAGGCAAGTTTACCGACCAGTTTGGCCTTTAGCTGACCCTTTGCTACTTCATTGTGGAGATGCATCTCGAGGGCTTTTGATATATTCTTCATCTTCTCAATAATAGGATCCAGCAAAGATCTCATTGTCGATTGGAAATAAACCTTGAGGGCTTTCCATTGATTGCTCACCACCTCTTCAATCCAATCCTGCAAAAGTATTACCCGATAGATAAGACTAGTTACCATCAATAATGGATGAAACTTGATAACCATCCTCACAATCCGTGGCACTGCAATTGAATCTCTCATATCTTCCATTTGGGAGAAAGGTGAGAAAGAACTGGTAGCACAGGTGGTTATTATGATGAATAAATTCTATATGGAGTAAAATAAAAGTTTGTTTCTCCTGTACGAGCTGGTGTAGAATTCAAAAATAATTCGTTGATAATATGTATTAGTCAATTTAGTGGGGACATTGATTAGTATTGGAACGTGAATTGGTTCTTCCTTGGTGGGACTTGTGCGGTGGACCTTCCATGAACTTGCATTAGTACTACTATTGGTATTGAAATTTGGCGTGGATCTTCAAAGCCGTCATTTGCGGTGCTTCTTTTTTCTTTTTCTTTGAAAATAGGCAATGCATTTGCCGTGCTTCAGGGTCATTTGGCGTGGGGAGTGGGGACTTCCTTTCACTTTGATTGGTATTGGCATTTGACCGTCACTTTCCTTTACTAGCCATGTTCATTTTTTTCTCATTTGAATGTTGTGCACAAGTGGATGCTTTTGCAAATAATTTCTTTTTTAATTTTTAGATTCATTTTAATGAAAAAAATTTATAACTTTATGGCATAAATTAAGAGTATATTATATAATAAGTCAAATAGTTGGATTCACTAATATACAAGTATCATCTTATGGGTCACATTTAGAGTTTAAGTTTTCAGGTTAGCACTTAAGAATATTAATTTTTTTTAATACACCAAGCCAAGTGAGTGATGTACCCTTAAAGTTACTTGATAAAAGATTAGTCTTAAAATAAACAAAAACAAATCTCTAATTAGTTTTACTTTTATAAAAATAAACAATAGTCTTAAAACTAATACTATCTAAATAGTTTTAATTAAACATTTGATAAAAGTAGAGGGATAGGGATTTAACCAAAAATTTACTTTAAAATTTGATATAAAGAGTCAATACTAATATAATATAACCCACGCTTGAAGCAAAGCAAGTGCATCTAAAAAGAGTCAGGAAAATGTACCCTAAGTCATTTGATTTCATTAAGAAAAAGTGCTCATGTCATAACTAGACAACATAAAGAATGGAGGGTATTATGGACAGGGATAGATGAACGAGATAATTTTTCTTTATGGTTTCTATTAAAATGTCATCGTAGTAATACAATTCCTTCATCTTCATAATAATGGATTTCTAATTTGATCATAAAAAAGTAATTTTTAAGGAATGAAATGTAAGATGATGATATTCAGAAAAAAAAAAGGTAATTTATTGTCCACATCAATGTTAACAAAGAGTGGACTTGAATAATTTCTTAAATTATTTAGTTTTTAAAAGAGACATTAAACAATATTAAGTTGATATCTCTACTTAAAATGAATAGAAACCTCTTTACTTTTTCTTTGTTTTTTCTTTATTTTTCCTCTATCCCCACATTTCTCTT